TCCCCTGAGTTCGCCCGCTGTGGTCTTCACCCCTCCTCGAACTCTGTCTTGTCCCCAGGCCGTCCGCCCGAGACCCCCTCCTCGAACTCTGCCTTGCCCCCGGGCCGTCCGCCAGAGACCCCCTCCTCGAACTCTGCCTTGCCCCCGGGCCGTCCGCCCGAGTTCCCCTTTTTGAACTCTGCCTTGCCCCCGGGCCGTCCGCCCGAGACCCGTCCTCCAGACCCACCCTGCTGGACTTTGTTTTTTGGGACATCTGGGATCCGTCCCTTGAGGCGGGGGTTATGTCACACTCCTAAGTTCATGTCACGGTTGTAGTTTTGTAGTTTTGGGTGTTTTTGCTGTTTTCAATGTCATGTTTTCCTCTGGGTTATTGTCTGGTCCTTTTCCCTGTGTTTTTCCTCTTGTTGTTAGTTTCCCTGGTGTGTCTAGTTATCTGATTGTGTTCACCTGTGGCCCTTGTGTTTCTCCTCCCCTGCCCGGCTGTTTCTCGTCTTGTGATTACCCCTCCCTGTATTTAGTCTTGTCTCCTCCTGTGTTCAGTGTTGGTGCTTCTTTTGTATGTGACCCAGTTCACCGAAGAGTGTTTTGTTTGTCCAAGTTTATTTAAAGTCCTTGAAATAAAGGTATCGTCAAGTGTAATCTGCGTTTGGGTCCTACCTGCTTCACTCTGCGTAACAGGGGAGGGGCTTTCACACATCTGAAGGTTTGATCCAATTATCATATGTATGCATGAAGCCAAGCTGCATATGAATAATATCCAGTTTGCTCGCAGTGAATGCTAAAACAACGTCACTAAAAGTGATTCAGGAGCAATTTGCAATTTAAATGGGAACATTTGGCTCTGGTCTGCTATTGAACATCGCAAGACGGCAATGTTTTCAGTTTATTGAAAAGTGGATAAAAAAACAGATTTGAGTGGAAACGTGCTACAGCAAACTGGTAAACACTATATAATGTGCATTTAAATGCAAATTAACATCCAATGTGAGAGGACTGAGAAAGGTCCAGAGGCTGGTTTTCTGTTCAGATGATCCAATGGCTTCATAGTTTATATATTAGTTAAACATGACAGTACAACATAATCAAATATAATATTAAAATAAGTTGTACATTGGCAAAGCTCACAGTGGCTTATTGCAAAATGAGATGTGAATGCAACTCCATGGTAGATTTGGGGCCATATGTTTGTTTGCAGTTGACAAAACAAAACAAATACCTGTTGTATACTTTACACCTTCCTCACTATAAAGGTCACTCTCCACTTGTTTACCAAGGATGTATTTAAAGGATATGGGAGGTGTTTCTTTTCTGATAAATCCAAGAAAGAGATCAAACGTACAAAGCACAAATCCCCTTCTTGATCATTTACAAACACCCACAGTCTGTGACCTATTGGTTTCCAAAAGGACATTAATCTTCAAAAACAGGTTTTCTAAAAGAGGAATTTGAGGGGGATTATTTTCAGTGGTGGATAAGTACATAATTGTTGCTCTCATGAGTATTACCAACAGCAGCATGGTGTATGTGCGACTGGCCTCATTTAACTACAGTGCAGGTTCTTCAGGATGAAAGGGCAAGAGGGACTCTGATGTTTTCACCAGGTTTTAAACAACAGTAGAAGTCTGTGGTAGCGGTTTACAACTTTTCTCTTCTAACGAGCCCCTCTGTCCTATCCTGAGTGGTTGATTCTTGGGCTTTGGTCTCTGTTGTACTCCTCTGCTCACCTGTTTACTGTTTTCCTCATCTTAATCGCAGCAGGTGGTGTTAAAGTATCACAGCTGGCTCAGCTTGGTAGAAAACTACATCCCCATACAATGAAACTGGTCTGTTACGCTTGGACAGGGAAATGTCTTCTCCTGGATTGCATTGTTTTTGGATGTTCCTATATTTAAAGTACAATAAAAAATGGAGAGAAGAGTTGGAGAGAGATATGAACACATGCAGTAAATGGTCACTCGCATTTGAAAAATATTTAGCCTTAGATTTTGACTGATTAGAAATGTGTTTCTAATCAAAGGTTGCTGCAAGTCTGCTCAAGGAGACAGCTGTTCATGTCCAAATAAAAGTTATTGTTATTTAGATGAGTGTAGAAATATGGACAGAGGGAGGTATGGCTTGCAAAGGTCCCAAGCTAGTATTGAAAAGGGCTTTGCTGTTGCTTGGTCTGCGGTAACCAGCTGTCTACCAAGTTGCTCTAATTTTTTTCTTTTGGCAAACCCTTGATTTTTTAAATAAAGTCAACCAAATCATTTTGTTGTTTTTTGTATTTCGGTCCTATTCACAGTTTTTAAACAAAAACCTGGAAAACATTAACGTCACAGCAAACACATTACAATTCCTTCCACAATATTTCCATGGACCCCCCTCGAGTACATATTGATAGAGAATTATTCATAGGACCCTTTGGTTTATGTTCTGATCATTTTAGCTTGAACCTCTCCTCTCACTCCTCTCTTCATGAGACGTATTTGGCACTGAGGAGTAAGCTACGGCAGGATTTGGCTTCATAGACAATACAGAAGGTACAATTGTTGTTTTTCTAAGACAAAATATTGAATATCTCCAAACTCATCATCATTTGCATTTTGTTTGTAAAAAGGATTTGGGGAAATTACAGGACAGAGTTTCATAAAAGTGGAAAGGTATTATCATGGGTCAAGGAAGAAGCCATTTCATTTTGGAGTGGGTCTGAATCACTGTTTGGGTAAACACATTATTGTTCACTTGTGCAAACGGCCTTGGCTGATGTGCTCTTTAAATTGTTTTGTTTATCTAAGTGTTGTTGTTATATCCTATTGAATGGAAATAAACCTGAAAATACAACCCAATACAATATTGGTGTAATAGAAATCACATTCAGAGAGCTCAAAGTGATTCAATGTTGCGTCAGAGATGTGTTCAGTGAAGTCTGAAGTAAACATGGCAGCAGTGTTTAGTGTCTCTTCCTCTTATTTGCAGAATAACAACATAAACACCTGTTTTGCACCTGCATACCCGTCCTTATACTATAAGGTTCTGGTTTGAAAAAGACTAAATTAAGCTTTTTCAACATATTCAAATTACGTAGGAAATCATTCTAATCTAGGGTGAAACCACTTTTTGCAGCCTTTAAAATGTGGGTACAGAGCTTGAAATATCTCAGATGGAGATGTGTGTGTGTGGCGCGGAGGGCAGGGGTTAGTGAGTGGAGACACTCCAGACTTCCAGGCAGGAATCAGCTCGCTCCAGCTGTCGGAACAATAAAGTGTTGGCATCTGTCCATGGTTCTGAAATCAACCACAATCTCTTTGAACGGAGAATAAAAGGAGCTGGCCGTGGTGCAGAGATACTGACGCTTGCGAGGCTAATGCCACATCTCACAACAGAACTGAGCAGGTGCAGGCGCACACCGGTGTGTATCCAAACTGCTGGCTAGAAACACGGAATGTGCATTGACAGAAAACGAATTGAACATGAAGAATGCAGTAGTGGAACAAGGCGTGCAGATCAGAAGATCTAATAGTGAGCGGTGGGTATTACCACATGCATAATGTAACATTAAACTGCTCTATGTGAAGAGTGGATAGCATTGCACAAGTTTGTGTGAATTCAAACACTTTTTCACACATGCCATCATCTTTCTTTTTGTTTGTCTGAATTTCCTCATCTGTTTTTCTCTGTTATCTTTCACATGAAGGCATATACAAAGAGACGGAGAGAAGCAGGCGCCCAAATCTGTTCTTTGACCTGCAGTCTGAAAGCTGGAGCAGCTCTAAAATGTGTTTTTATCTGAAAGAAGATGGACTCTGTGGTGCCTGGCTTGGAGGCAGCCCACATCGTGCACCTGCTAAGGGTCAATGATCATCCCAGCCCCCGGGTGCAGAAACGTAAAGACAGGCCTCGACTGGACAGAGACAGATTAGAGAAGCGGTATTCCTTCCTTACCTACTGCTCTCGTCTCTTAGTGATTCAGTGCATGCGTATATAGGCTGGCTATTCCTGCCTCAGCCTCCCACCTCATCCCAAGCGAGCGATAAGTATTGTTTGCGTAGCAGCACATTTCATGCTCGGCTTCCCCCACCTGTTCCCTGACCTGCGAAGTCTGGCGGCTGGAATAGCTGTCAAATACCTTCACCCGTATCTCTCCAGGATGATTGAAAGGAGATGTTGTCTTATAAAAGGTTTGAGAAGCGTTTCCTTTTCAGCAGAGCACAAAAACAAACTTTGGTCAAGGATTATAAAGCAGTGACTCAGAAGGCAGTTAAAACAAATAAAAGGTTAACCTCACTTTTCCTTTTTGTGTGCTAATTGCCGGATAATGTTTTGTGTCTTTTAATTTGTCGCCTGCAGGTTTGTGTGTGAGTTCTGGCTGCATGTCAAGGTCAAACTATTAATCAAATCTATCAGCCTGATTTGCATAATGAACCGCTGCAACATTTCCCTGGGCCTCAAGGACCCTCTCCCCGCCGCTCACCATCGCCTCACGCTTATCTGTGTGTGATGTCTAATGCCAGTTATCACACTCAACGCAACACGGTGTGTGTGTGTGTGTGTGTGTGTGTGTGTGTGTGTGTGTGTGTGTGTGTGTGTGTGTGTGTGTGTGTGTGTGTGTCTCACAGCTGTGTCTGCTTCAATTGGCAGGGATCTCCTGTTTGTTTTGCACAGCATTAGTAAACTTGCTTGACATTTTCCAAATTGAAAAGCAACTTTGAAGGACAGAAATTCTTCATTTTGTGACACATTTGATCACTTTTCATTACTCCTCTGAAGAAACAGATCAGGAATATGAATTCAAGATCAGACATGTCTTCGATTGTGGCATGCTGTTAGATTTCTGATGAGTTTTGGAATCATAATTATATTAAAAGATCTAAAAAACTATTGGATGGTTCAAAACGAATCCAGCTCTGTCCCGAGAAATCCGTTTTGCAAAACAAAAAAGTTCCCATTTCCCCGTTAAGGGAGCATATAGAAGTACCAGGGAAACACAAAACAAACTCCGGCAAAGTGAAATTCCTCACCTATTAGAAAAGTAAAATCCTCAAGAATGAAAATCAAAAACTGTTATTTTTGCGCCCCTCGGAGACGTACAGCCTCCAACACCAGAGAAACACTGCAAGATCAGAGGAAAGCAAAACCACACCGAAACAAGCCATGATGGAGAGGGAAAAAAGGCTGAAAATAAGGGAAAGGTGGAGATTTTAACAAGAAGCTGCTTCGGGAAGAGAGAGAGAAAAATATCAAGAGCGTCCGCAAAGCACGTATTTCTCAGTGGATATCGCCGGAGCAACAACACTCAGCATCCAAGACTGAAATCATTGCATGCAGAAACATTTCCCCCATCTCGGAACACCAAGACAAGAAAGAAAGCAAGAAAAAGAGGATCAAAATAAGAAAATGGCAGTGGAAAATGTACTCACCGAGCGGGAGTAAAAGGGGTTCAATTAAAAAGAAATTGGGCGGATAGCGGTGGCGGATGGGTGCTGTGCAGACTCGTGAACACCGAGGCTCTGCGTCCCTTTCGCGCGCTCTAGTGCTGCCGGTGGCTCAGTCACGTGACTCGGGATTGGCCAGAGTTTTTGAATCACACACACACACACACGCACACGCACACACGCACACATACACACACACACACACACACACACACACACACACACACACACACACACACACACACACACACACACACACACACACACACAGAAGCACACAGACACTTTCTTTGATTTGTAAACAAGTTTTTATTGGTATGTTTAATAAATTGCCTCATATAGCGGTAAAATGTGTGTTCTGTGTGTACTTTGTTTTTGTAACGCCTTGTTCATCATGCTTTGGCAATACGTTTTTGATATCGTCATGCCAATCTTTGAGTCAGTCAGTTTTTGTTTCTTCTTGTAGCTACACTTGAAAGCATGCAGTGGTGTAATGGAGGAGCTTTTTCTGTCACTGGCATTGATTTTTATGCCCAGGGCCATTTGCTTCCTAAAACACTGTCCAAGTGCGAGGGCACATATAAGCAGGACACATTCAAATCTGATCTAACTTTTTCATAATTAGCCTATATTGCATATATTTATTTTTAGTTGCATCACAATATCTCACAAGTAACAGAAATCACTTACAATAATGAGACTCTAATTTCATGCAAACCTGAATGATCTCTTATTATACAAACACGCCATTAAAGGAAATAACTTGTTGTAATTACTTCCATCTGCATTTTTTATTTGATCGCTCCTTGTGGCTCATTGTGTTGTTTACATAAATTAATGAACTAATAAACAAATGATCATGATTGCTGAAGGCTGTTATTGTCCACTGAACGTCTGAAAAAGGTTTCGATGTATCATCACAACTCCAACCTCTCTCTGCTCCCTCATTAAAAACTACTCAACGGATTAATCAGCTGGTTTATAATGAGCCTCATCAGAATATTGACCATCAATGAGGGTGTCAACGCTCAGGGCATTCCTTCATAGTCTAAAGCTTAGTTAATATCCGGCTGTAAGTCCCCCATAGATCTCAATTGAGGAGCAATATTGATTGAACACCTTCCAAACATGTTAGGCAACATACTGCCGGCAAAATACCTCTTTTATTCACTGGTTCATTTTGAGACTTTGGGGTATTTTGCCTCCAAAACATGTTTTCTTTCAGACTGAAAAATACCATTTTGAGTGTCCATTTTACTGCACTGCTTCTCATCATTCTATAGATGTTATTATATAATGCCTCATTTGCATATTTAAACATAACAATGTCAATGTAATCAATGAACTGTGAGGTTTCATCGTTATATGTTTTGTTTCTTTACTATATCTTTCTGTAATGTCTTGCTAAATGTATAGAATACAAAATATCTTTAAAGTCCGTGTTCTCAAAATAGACGAAGATGATGAGCCGTATGACGAGTGTTTTCTTCATCTCTGAGCTGCAAGTCTCTATCTGTATGCTGAAGGTTTTCACTGAGGGCTTTGATCATTACATATCATTTTGCAGACGATTTTATCCAAAGCGGCTTCAAGTGCCATCAACAAATGGGTACAAACTCGAATCAAAAGTACCTCAGCTTTCAGAAAGCAACATTTTTGTAAGTGCTACCGCCTTGGCTTCAAATAGGCCAAACCTTTCTAAGTGCAACAAACAGAAATGATTCCTCTTCTCTTTATTTGCTAAAATGCAGTGAAAATACGTGAGGGTTTCAGTATGTGACACACAGGTATATCGTTCATATATATATATTACCTTTTTTCTTTAAACATGGTTAAAAATATATATTTGTATGGTGTTGGCTGATGTTCTGAATAACGGAGTGATACAAAGAGACACAATTCAATCTGTGAAAAGTTTTGACTTTTTTGAAGAATTGTGGACCTTGCATTATCAAATATTCATTATCAAATATTCAGAATATGTAAATGAGCCAATACTCAATGAAATCATTTCACATTTGCATATTTAAGGCAACATTTAAGGCAACATTTAAAAAAGAGCACTTCACACAATTCAAGTTATCAACTGGGGAAGTGTTACATCAGTTATTTACTCTGTTCACCTGTATCGTCGCCCCCTAAGGTCTCTATAGGACATGAAAGGTCAGGAAAACTTTAGACTGCAGCTTCTCATCTCATTTCATTTGATCCCTCTCTGCACGGTTGACAGCTCCAGGGTTCATACTGATTCTTGAAGGAAACACGAATGGGCTTGCCATCTATGGGGGAACAGAAGTGTTTGTTTCTGCAGCCGGTGGTATGAGCCGAGGGTCCGCACGGATCAATGGCTCCTCGAGGGGCTGATCAGCAGAGACAGACGTCAGGGCAGCGGGCTTCCTGCCGCGCCACTTTGTTTTCCCCTGCAGCGATGAAGCTGTTGATAGATTGTGTCAACCATCACAGGAGCTGCACCTATCAGACATGATTCTGTTCTGCTGTGAGTTCATGAAACATGATGAGGGGTGGTAGGGATTGATTCAAATTGGGCTGGATGCATTTGGTTGTAAGTTCAAAGCTTAGTGGAGATGTACAGGTCTAGTTTTATGATTTGTGGGTGAGGCTTCAAACTAGTGCTAGCGCTTTTATTGGCACTCCAACACATGGTATATGATAGGCTGAGGGGCGGGACATCTCTAAGCGGTTGACTAATCACAACAGAGCCGGCCAGCTAACTAATCAGAGCAGACTGGGCTCTGGTTTCAGACAGAGGGTGAAAAGAGGTGCTGCAGCACAGGCAGTATGAGAAAAATAAAGAGCTTTTTGAACATTAAAGCATGAAAACATGTCACAGGAGAGGCACAAAATACAAATGTGAACCTAAAGTGTGTGGTATGTGACCTAACAATCGACATCGGCACCTCTGTTGTTTCCCCGACTCAGACTGCAAGGAATCTGGGTGTGATCCTAGATAACAACCTGTCCTTCACTGCAAACATCGCTGCTACAACCCGCTGCTGCAGATACACGCTTTACAACATCAGGAGGATACGCCCCAGCTGTTCCAGAAAGCGACGCAGGTTCTGGTCCAGACTCTCGTCATCTCACCCCTAGACTACTGCAACTCCCTCCTGGCTGGTCTACCTGCATGTGCCATCCAACCTCTGCAGCTCATCCAGAATGCGGCGGTTCGTCTGGTCTTCAACCTTCCTAAATTCTCCCACACCACGCCGCTCCTCCGCTCCCTTCACTGGCTTCCGGTAACTGCTAGAATCCACTTCAAAACAATGGTACTTACATACCATGCTGCGAATGGATCTGGCCCTTCCTACATCCAGGACATGGTTAAACCGTACACCCCAGCACGTGCACTTCACTCTGCATCAACCAAACGGCTCGCTGCACCCGCACTGCGAGTGGGACCCAAGTTCCCATCAGCAAAAACACGTGGGTTTGCTATCCTGGCTCCAAAATGGTGGAATGAGCTCCCCATTGAAATCAGGACAGCAGATAGCTTACACACCTTCCGGGGGAGACTGAAAACTCATCTCTTTCAACTCCACTTCGAGCGTTAGAACTATTAACAAAGCACTTATATACTAATAAAGGACTGGCTTATCTAAAGCCAGTTGAGGAGCACTTGAAATGTTTGGCTCTATGAAACCTGATGTACTTATATGATTCTGTTTTCTTCTAGTTTGTGTCTTCCTGGTCGAATGTACTTATTGTAAGTCGCTTTGGATAAAAGCGTCAGCTCAATGCAATGTAATGTAATGTAATGTAAAGAATGAGCATAAAAGGGACCCTTTAAGTAGTCACAGTTGGATTGTTGTTTCACATGGGACTAAAACAGCCTCGCAAAAAGATGGGTTTTAACGGTCTTCACAGCAGCTTCTCCTGAAGTCTGGAGCATTTGGTCTTAGGGTCTTATATTGAAACACAAAAATTATAATATTTTTAGCGAAAACACGTAGAAATAGCATTTTTTGGGACCAGTCTGCTGTGGGAACATGATGCCTGTCGTTCCTCCAGCAACACATCCCAGTTTTCTGAGAGTTCACTTCAATCAAAACAAAAAAATATCTATATAAAAAAAGTCAGACTCTCTTCTCTGCTCAGTGTCACACACAAGGCTCTGAGCAGCTGCCACTTCAGCGCAGTGGGACCGAGGCTTTCTGTATCTGCTCATCTCTATCCACCTTCCTCCACCCCAGCACACATGATGATCCTCTGGCTGGGGTCCAAAGCTCCGTGTGCAGAGACCAACACTGTCTGGCATGCAGCTCATCTGACACTCCCCCAGCTCTGAGCCATACAGCCTGAAAGAGGTGGAAAAGGTGTGTGTTTCTTTGTGTGTGTGTGTGTGTGCGTGTGTGTGTGTGTGTGTGTGTGTGTGTGTGTGTGTGTGTGTGTGTGTGTGTGTGGTGTGTGTGTGTGTGTGTGTGTGTGTGTGTGTGTGTGTGTGTGTGTGTGTGTGTGTGTGTGTGTGTGTGTGTCAGGCAGAAGTCTTTTAAGCCTCAGGTCGAGTCATGTGTCTGCACTCAGCTGTAATTGCTGTGTGGAACAGAACATGTAATGCAACGTTAATGGCAAAGGGACTGATGCTTCGCCCACAATGTTCCCTTTTCAAACATGAATAGTGCATTAACAGCAGGGATTCACTATCCCCACACTGATTGGAGCTATTAAATCAATTTAGGACATGTGGAAAGGGAAGTGAAAGTGGGCGATTGAGTGGGGTATGTGTGTAAACCATGAAGCTTTGTAAACCTGGTAAAAAAATGACCGTAATATTTAGTCCTGTGAAAAGAAGCACATTTTAGTGGTGTCTAAGTTACAGGTTGGATTAGATTTTGAGTACTCCTTTTCTCCTTTGTTGCCTTTTTCTGTTTTGTTCTTTTGCGCTTTGCCCCATTTTTCCAGGCATTTCTTTGCATACACACTGCCATTTTTCACGGAAATTA